TGTTTCACATGAAAGATACATGCAACAAATACGTTTTTAATTGAAATCACCAATAGTGCCCTAAAAGGTGTGTGTGAGCCAGAGAGGAACTTCCGGCCCTTGGGCCAACCATAGACTTCTAAGCTTCTCTTAAGTTGCTTCTGTTCATCAATTCTGCCCTGTTTCTTTGCGGAAGAGGATTTTGCATAAATTGAATAAGGAGCCGTATGTAAATGCACATAAATATTATTTTCCTTTCCCTCTCCTTTTGCATTCTGAGTAAAAGTTACACCCCTAACTATGTCTGTCTATTCGTCTGACGTTCTGATTTGGACCGCTGTGGAAGACGAACGGCTGAAAGGTTTCACCTTCTCCAACGTGAATTTGGGCAGAAAACAAGTGAAATAACTTCACCCTCTCTAGCAGATGTCTCAACAGCAGAGGGAGCAACTTTTTTGGATGTCAAAAATGGCCATAACATGCAAATCATTTAAAATGCATTCCGATGTATGCATGTTAAGTGCTAATTTAAAATGTTTAAATGTGCACCTCATTGAACTGCTGGCATACAATAGAACGGAGGGGCTTCTAAGTGGGACAGAAGCATCTCTTGGCAAAAGGCAGCGCCTTAATTATTCTCATAACATTGCAGTAAAATTTAGTATGATGGGCAAACCAGATTAGGGGAGTGTATTCCCCTCAGAATGGAGTGGTGATACTGTTTGAGTCTGCCAAGGTGGCAGGGAACGATGAGATGTGTCATTCCACACTGCTTTGAACTAGATTCAGCTGCATGGGTTAGATAATTTTGCCTCTTCCATTTCCCTACTTCTCTGCTGGGCAATGCATTTGGTTCTGCTTTAAAGTTCCATCAGTAGAAAGTCGGTTTTAATTCTGCAGCTTTCTCGTTCTTTGCTTCAACAGAGGCCTTGATTTGTAGAAAGTGTGGCACAGAAAGATTTCTTTAAAAGGTTTAAGTTCCTTTGGGTGTGCTGCAGGGCTGAATAAATAGCTACAGCAGAAGTCTTACAGGGGTGAGGTTGACTCACCCACTTTTCATCTCAGAAACGTAGCTACAAGACACAACTTGGCAAATGCACTGTCAAAAATACATGGTCTGCAAGGACAGGACATAAAGCTTTGCCTGCTAGGAAACTGGTAACTCCATTGCCATGTTTGTTTCCAAGGAAAGGAAACCACACATTTTGAACTCTTTAATAAGACAGGAATGGGGGAAGTCATCTAATTTCCAAGAGGCCCATCCTTCAAGAACCACAAGGCTTGAAGTAGCCGTATCAAATGAGATGGGGAATAAACTGTTTCCATATTGTTAGAACCCAGCCAAGCCTTGGTGACATGTGACTAACCTTGAGAATTGATTCTGAAGTCCTTTGAAGCATGGCGTGGATAAACTCAGCCAGAGCTGATCATCCATTTGGGAGAATGAGGAAGAGTTACCACATTCCCCCTCTTTTGACAGTTGAGGTAGCCCCGAGCTTTATCTTCCCCCTTTTTGCCCTAATTCAAAGTCTGGGTAAGCCAAGGCATTAGCCCGGACAAAGGGCTTTCAAACTTTTTTAGGCCATGGGACCTGTTAGATTTAAAAAAAAAATTCTCAGAAGCCCTGATGGAGAGTCAAAGGGATAGAAAATTGGCTGTGCTCGAGTGAACGGTTTTTTTCTTTTGCTCTTAGGCAGTGTGAAAATTGCCAGGTTGAGTGAGGGCAGGAAGAACAGGAATAATTGGAATTTAGCCTGCCAGTGACAGCTGTTACTCATATACAGATTTGTTTGTATCTGCACCTCCCGCTTTAATATTTTTATTTACTTTTTAACCTTGTTGGGCTTTTTATTATTAAAAAGGCAGTTGTTTCACATGAAAGCCTGTGCCACTTAAAAAAAGCAAAACTTTTTTTTAACCTACCCCTGGGCGGAGGCACCTTGGCTTCTGCCTTCAGAATTATTGCTTGCTTTAACTTAGGGACTAAATGCAGATAACGAATTGGGAATAATAGTAATACAGTATTTATTTATATTGTGCTTAAATCTGGGGGAACAGAAATTGCTGTCGGAATAGCAGAAACAGCCAGAAGTGCTAAGGTGGCTGAACAAATAGAATTTGTGGGGACGTATCTGCTCAACCACAAAGATGGGTAGGAAGGGGCACAACGCTGCAGTCTTGGGTTCAGACTTTGCCCCAGTCATCAGCTCTGTTTTGGCATGCCTTTGTTCCTCTGGGTGTGCCAATGCCCTGTGTGTGAGATGAGCACGAAGGGACTTGGGTATGTGGTTGAGGGACAGCCTGCCAGGGGCAAAGAGGGCAGTGTCATTTCCAAAAAGGCACATAGGAAAAATCAAAAAGGAATTCTAGATATCAAGGAAGGACATATGGAATTTCTTTGCTGATGGGTGGAATTCATCAGAAGCTGCTGTCGACAAGAAAGTCTTGAAAGGAAAAGGGTGACGGACAACCCGTTTCCAAGGTTGGGGTTACCTCTCTTCTTGTCAAGGCACCTGGTTTGTGGATGTTGGAACCAAAGCGCTGGCTCAAACAGGCATTCGTCTGACCCAGTTGTTAAAGAATAATGCTTTGTTCTTCCCCTGCAGTGGTGTGAAGGCCCTGCCCCCTAACGGGCCAAGCCTTGGTGTGGAAAATCATCTGGAGGTAAGGACTGGGTTAGGATTTCAGCACGAGAAAGGGATTGTGAGAAACACATGGGAGAGCTTGTGAAAGATGCCAGCGGAGGTCCCTGAGGGTGCTCTAGTCCATCCCACCACCCAGTCCTGGAGATCCAGAGCTACAAAAAGACATTTCCTGCACGAGGAAAATGAGTATCTCAAGGAAAAGCTGTGATAGAAATATCACTGTTTTTCTGGGTTCGAATCTTTTGGGTTTGGTGCTTGGTTTCCCCATGCAGGGGGAAAAAAGTTTTCCTATGGAAAGCCAGCATGCCAGAGAAGCAGGCTTCTCACTGAGCAGGCTTTCTGTACAAAGGGAATCAAATCTGGAAGTACAGGGATTCAAACGGTCAGTGGTCTTCCATACCACCATATCAAACCAGCATATCAAAGTGGGGGGGGGCGGAGCATTCTGTTCTTGACTTTTCCTTGAGATGCTAGCTTTCTGCAGGCAGGAATCCAACCACCTCGACATCTGCAGCAGGGCGCTTGCTTCTCTGTTTCCAATGACATCAGAAGGGCAAGCGCATGCAGTGAGGTGCAATGGCAGGACTGCCACCCCTTAAAGCTAACAGGGCTCCACTTCCCTGACTCATCGAATGCCCCCATGGAAGCGCACCGAAGGGGGACTGGCTCCTGCCAGCTGTTCACTCCCCCTCCAAACCTCAATAGCCGCCTCCTGTGGGCTGCATTGCAACTCTTCTGGGTGGGGCTGCGTTCCTCCCGATGGATCAGATCCACCATCTGGGGCAGGAAGGGGGTCCCGGAGGGGCTTTTGCTTTGGCACCCTTCCAGCTTTTCCACACCCAGAAGGGAAGGGCCCAAAGCCGCCGTCTCCCTCGAGGTGAGCTCTGCTCTTGGCGACTCCCAGGACCTGTCCGTGCTGTTCTGCTCACCATCGCCCCCTTCCGGATCGTGGGGGCTTTCTGAGCCTTCTCCGCCTAGCTTATGGGCCCGGCCTTGCTGGTGATCTCCCATCGCCACCACGAACCAAGGAATCCTCTCCGGAAAGACTGTTGAGAAAGCAGCAGCCGCCTGAGCAGTTTTATTGCCGAAATAAAGGGGGGAAATGGCAAAGTTGGGCCTGCTGCTCTCCCCAAGGGTGGATTCAGAAATCAGGTGCTCTCCCAAATAAACTGGCCGTGCTGAGTTGTATGCTTCGGATTTCATCTGGTAAATGTGCTGGGGGGGGGTGCATTTTCCTGGCAAAAGCCTTCCATTCCCCCCACCCCAAGCTATTTCCTTTTTTTTAAAATTTTTGCAATGAAAGTTGCTCAGAAGAGACCTCTGCCTAGGGAAAAAAAGTCTTTTTCTTGGACCCCAAATGTCTGTGCTGGGGCCAAGAATTTCTTCCCAGGCAGTCAAAAGCAGCGGGACGGATGCCCAGGACAGCTTAGCTCCTTGGAGAAACAAGGGGGGGGGGAAGGAGCCAGATGCAGGGGGAGGTAGAAGAATCTTGCTCAGCTTGGAATGTGTTCCTGGACATTCTCTCTCCCAAGATAACATAGGGTCCTGCTCCCCATCCCTACCCTACCCCATCCTGCTCCCCATCCCTATTGGGAAGCTTTCCAGCTATACTCTGCAGTGACCCTCCAACTCGCCACGTCCTTAAAGGAGGGTGATTGAATAAAGACTTGCAATTGGCTCTTTGCGCCTGGTCACCTGAGGCGAGTAAAAAAAAACAGAACCGCCTTCCAGACAACCAGACTCCATGAAGCAAGAAGATTTGTGTCGATGTCTCTGTGTTTTCTCACCGAGCCTTTTAAGCTATAAAAGCGAAAGGCATCTAACTCCCAATAGCTGAGCGTCTGTTTCTTCCCCCGTCCCAGAAGGCTGCGGAAAACCTCCGAGCCTCCGAGCCCATCAAATTTGTCACCTCCAGCCGCACAGATGCCGGGGTGCACGCCCTCTGCAACAGCGCCCACCTCGACATCCAGAGGAAGGATGGGCAGCCCCCCTTCTCCGAAGAAGTCCTCGTTCGGGTTCTCAACAGGCATCTCAGATTGGAGCCCATCCGGTGAGTTTCTTCAGTTTCCAGAGGCGTGCATTTCATCCCTTCTGTTGTAGGATGGGCTTCCCCTGAGCGGCCTGCAGGTATTGAACCGGAGCCCTGAGTTCAAATCTGTTCAGCTGTGGGCCTAACTGGAATGAACCCAGTGGTAAAATCGTGGCTCTGGTACTGATTTCATGACAAGTATGTTCCTCTGTAGGCGCTCTTCTTTCAGTGGGCCTGAAAGGAAGGGCGGAGCGGATCAGGCAGCAAGATCTCTTCCCATTGCGATCTCCATCCGTTGTCATGGCATCCTTGTAAACATGGCGCCATGCCCAGTTGCCCACCTACTCGCCTGGCGGGCTGAGCTCCCCGGGGAGTAGGAAGCTGCATCTCATTCAGATGTTACATAAGCTGGATCCTCTCGCCCCCGGATGCGCACAGCAGTGGGAGAAATGGCTCCACTTTGCAGAAAATGGCAGAACAGGAGTCTCTCGGCCTGTACGGCCCAGTACTGTGGCTATTATGACTGCATCTAATGAAACTGGGCTGGCCAGAGCCAGGGCCAGTGGTTGGTTGGGGGAACGCTGTACGGCTGCTCAGTTGAGCTTCTGGTCTAAACCATCCTCCCCTCCGGGGAGCCCAAGGGAGGCGGGTGTGTGCGCCAAGGGGAATCGACAGATCTACTGCTCTTGAAGTCAGTTGGACAAGCAGCAGAGACCAGCACGTCTGGTTCTGATTTTTCCCGCACCTCTCAGTCCTTCTCCTTGGTTTCCTCTCCTGCGTCCACATCCAGATCGCTCACCGGGGCCGTCTGCCCTGTCAAAACGCCCTGGACTCAAAGACGGCCGTGCTCGTCAGCGAAACAAAACCTGTTGCTTTTTTCCGCTGCCACGGCCAACGTTGCTTCTTTCTTTCTGGCATGAGATTTTTACGCAAAAGGCCTGTTTGAAAATTTGAAAAGCTCACCTCCCATTGTGGGATCACCCCCCCCTGCCCTGCCCTCCCCTCGGCTCAGCCCCTGCTTTGCAAGGAGAATGGAAAGGGTTTGGGTCATTCATCCACTCTAGCCATTCTCTCCTTAACTGCTTTATTCCCTAATCCGTGTTTTGTTTGACGTGACCCAACTTGGATGCCAACACAGCGAGTTTTCCATTGTATGTGCTCTTTTCCTTATTCTCCCCTGGCCCCAGCCTGGAAAAGCATTTACTGACCATGCCGAACATTTGTGCGTTTGCCTGAAAAGAAGACTACCTTATTTTTCCCTAAAATAATTTCCCTTTAAATTTGGAAGGTTATTTTAAAATACGGTAACAGAGGCGGACGATTCCTCCCCACCCCAGCCAACCATATAATCTTTCCTATGGTGGTCTTGGGGAATGGTCTTAAATTCAGGATTTTCTTTTAAAATCAACACATCAGTACAGATGTTAACGTTTCCCTGCTGCTGGTTCCCCAAATGGTAGAGCCAGGGGCACTGTCTTTTTGAAGGCGGCGAAGCTTCATGAGACAAGAAGTGATGAGAGCTGACATCAGGCCCCCTTGCTGGCCTTGGGAGTAGTGTGCCAGGAACGGGCTGGGCTCGTGTTGCACAGATCCTAGGACAGCAGCCAGGAAGCATAACAGCAAGGAAGTGTCAGGCCAAAGGAGAAGCTTTCCCAGTTGAATAGGGACCGAGGAGACTCAGGTTCAAGTCCAGCCTCAGTCCTGGGAACTCCCAGGATGACTCTGGACCAACACTCTCTCTCGTAGCCCAACCTCCTTCCCAGGGTCATGGTCGGGTGGATAAAGCGAAGGGAGATCTCCACATAAGCCACCTTGAAGGAAGGGCTGCAAATCCCTCACTGCCTCTTCTCTTTTTCTTTCTGAAAGCGTTCTGAGCGCTTGCCGGGTTTCCAGCAACTTCCATGCCCGCTTCTCAGCCCGAGCCAGGACGTACGTGTATCGGGTCGCCACAGGCTGCACCACCTATCCTGATCTGCCTGTCTTTGAACGGGATCTCTGCTGGGCAAACCGGCATGGGTGAGTTGGCGAAACCATGCTCACGCAAGATCAGGGATGCAGATCTCCAACGAGGCCTGCAAGATCTTAACTTACATGGGTTAAGTAGTCATTCAGAGCTGGCTCCAAGAAAACGACCTTGGTATCTGCAAGGGAACCAGGGCACCCATAAATTATGTAGCAACTGTATGTGCTAACGCACGCGTGAACACACATCTACAATCTGCTTTCTCTCCATGAGTCGTTATCTCTGTAAGTTGAAAAAGCCACATGGATCGTCAGCCCTCAATGGGTGAGTGTGTTCATTCTCCCTGAGCCTTTGCTAGGCTGACATCAGGTTGGAAAAGATGGCAGTCTGAACAGTTAAAGGAGCCAACAGTCTGCCGTGGCTGCTTAATTCGATCATTGAGTCAACTGCTTCTCCTGGATTGGTCCCATAGTCCATGGGACCTGGTCTCCTGGTGACTTAATAGACGTGACTGTACTTTGCTTGGCAGAGTTGGCAGCGTGTTGCCCTCACCCTTGCTTTCTTCCAGATTTCTATTTTTATCCCTAGAGCCAGCTTTCTCAGTGGTCTCCCATCCAAGATTTCTTGGTAGCCTCCCATCTAAATCCTAACGGGATCCGACTTGGCATACTTTCTTTCAAGATGGCCAGTTTTACTAGGCGCTAGGTTATTCTGTTGTATAATTAAGGTGCTGTCATTTCAATCATCGTAAGAGAGAAAAACAAAACAAGTGAAAAATGGATTGAATTTTTAAACAGCCCATCAGTCAAAACTCCTGTCTATAGAGGGCTTTTTCAAATACGGGGAGGAACAAGGCCTTCTAGGCAGAGATCTATTATCCTTCTATCCTTGGGAATATCAGCTTTTTTGCCAAGAGAAGAGGCTGTTTTCCTCTGTCCTTCTCGTAGCCTCCACACAATTCCCAAGAGCACAAGTCTGGTGAGTTTCCCAAAGAAAATTAATATTAGGGGAGGACTGTTAGGCTTGCTTTGCAAGACTGTGTAGCTGTGCTGAGAGTTAGACAGACCAATTTGAAGCAGTTTTTTAGTAGCGGCTCTTCCTCCTCTGGAGTCTTGAAAAGACAGGTTAGGGACAGATCGTCATGGAGAAAATCTATCTGTGCGGTCGCTAGGAGTCAAAAATGACTCGATGGCACATAATCGGTCAATCAGTCTTCTCCCTCTGGTTTAGCCACCCAAACTTGGCCGCCATGCAGGAAGCAGCCACTTTCCTGTTGGGCACCCACGACTTCTCCACCTTCCGCTCAGCCAGCTCAGAGACGCCGACGAAAAGCCCCGTCAGGACGCTGAACTGGGTGGAGGTGAGGCCCGCCCGAGGCTTCCTTTCCGAGCACAGCCAGGACAGGTGAGGCTGCCTGCCCCTTTCTCTCTCTTTTCCCCCATAATTTCTTCCTGTTGGTTGCTAGTCCACGGCAGGGAGTTCCTTCAGTGAATTGGGGATGGTGCAGAGCGAGCTTTCTTTTCCTCCGCCCTGAATCTGTACCAAGGAAGGCAGCAATCTTTTCTTCTTCGTTCCCTTTTGTAAAACTGCGTGGTGGTTTCTTACTCGTTGGTTGGCTTTGCCCCTCACGTGGTGAAAACAGGGTTGGGAAGCGTGTGATTCGGCATGATAAACACATTAAGCGGTAATATATTCTGCTTGGGTATTACATGTTATGTGAATGTGTCAATTGCTTTTGTTAACCAAGGTTTGTGTGTGCGGTGAAAAGCTTATTTCAGTAGACGGTTTTGAAACATCACGTCTCCAAGATTGACAGGTTGGGTTATCTGGAGGGGTGTCAGGAAGCAAGAAAGCTGGGGGGGGGG